CACAAATAATGTTTAATATCAGAAAAGAACTTCTTTTTCTGTTGAAAAAATAAGTTAAGAGGTAAGACATTACTCACAAAATAATTAACAAAATCTGCATACCAAGGTAAAGAAGATAAAGCACACAAAGAAACTAAACACAATTGCTCATATGGAAACTCATCAAGCAAAGGTTGATCATCCCTGCAGTCCACATGTGTCTCATCTAACCTGGACAAATGATCAGCAACAAAATTTTCTACACCTTTTCTATCCCTAATTTCTAACTCAAACTCTTGCAGCAACAAAATCCATCTCAACAACCTAGGTTTGGCATCCTTTTTAGCAAGCAGATATTTAAATGCAAAATGATCAGTATAAACAATCATCTCGGACAAAATTAGATAAGACCTAAACTTTTCAAAAGCAAACACCATAGCAAGCAACTCTTTCTCAGTAGTAGTGTAATTCTTTTGAGCATTATTCATTGTTCTACTTGCATAATAAATGGTGTCAAATTTCTTATCTTTTCTTTGTCCTAGAACTGCACCTAAAGCATCATTTTGCTAGTATCACACATTATTTCAAAAGGCAAGTCCCAACAAGGTGTAACAACAATAAGAGCATTAACCAATTTCTCTTTCAACAATTGAAAAGCATTCATACAATCATCATCAAAGAAAAATAGTGTTTTCTTAACCAAGAGATTAGTAAGTGGCTTAGAAATTTTTGAAAAATCCTTAATAAATCTCCTATAAAAACTAGTATGTCTAAGAAAACCTCTAACTTCTTTAATTGATTTAAGAGGAGCAAGCTTTTCAATTATTTCAACCTTGACTCGATCAACTTCAATACCTTTAAAGGATACCTTATGGCCTAACACTATACCTTCCCTAACCATGAAATGGCATTTTTCTCAATTCAATACTAGGTTAGTTTCCTCACATCTTCCAAGCACCCTAGACAAATTATGTAAGTATGCATCAAATAAAGAGCCAAAAACTGAAAAATCATCCATAAAAATTTCTATGCACTCATCGACAAATTTAGCAAATAAAGGCATCACAAATCTTTGAATCGTACCTGGAGCGTTACACAATCCAAAAGGCGTTCCTCTAAAAACAAAAGTACCATATAGGTAGGTAAATGTTGTTTTTTCTTGGTCTTCTGGGGCAATAGAAATTTGATGATAATTAGAATAACCATCCAAGAAACAATAATATTCATGTCCAACAAGTTTCTCAATCATTTGGTCAATAAATGGCAGTGAAAAATGGTATTTCCTAGTAGCTTCATTAAGTTTCCTATAATCTATACACTCTCCACCCTGTTATTGTTCTAGTGGAAATTAATTCATCATTCTCATTTTTTATCACAATTGTCCCACCCTTTTTAAGCACTACTTGCACAGTACTCACCCAAGTACTATCGAAGATAGGAAAAATAATACATGTATCCAACCATTTGATTACCTCTTTTTTGACCACCTCTTGTATGTTAGGATTAAGGCATCTTTATAGCTGAACAATTGGTTTGTGCCCCTCCTCCAACAGAATTTTATGCATGCAAACCGAACGGCTAACTCCTTTGATATCCGCTATGCTCCATCCTATAGCTCCTTTATGTTCTCGCAACACCCTTAAAAGTTCTCTTCCTCAATTCCTGTCAAAGAAGCAGAAATTATTATAGGTAAGGTATTTGAATCACCTAAATAAACATACTTTAATTGAGAAGGAATGGGTTTTAATTCAAGAGTAGAAGGCTCCTCTTTGGATGGCTTGACTGTCACAGTGGACAGTGCATCTAGGGGCAGAAAATTCCCTCCTTTTTGTGGCTGCCTATAGCATTTTTCCCCAAGAATAACTGCTACCTCCAAAATGTTATTGTCTGCACCACCAGCTTTCACATCCAAAGCATTAACAATGTAATTATCAATAGGACCATCTAATCTAGAAGCATTAAAATTTTCAGCCACTAAATTATCTACCACATCAATCCTTAAAATAGCACTTCCATCATAATCACAATTTTCCATAGCCTCAAACACATTAAAAACAATTTTCTCATCATGTATTCTAAGACTAAGTTTTCCTTGTTGAACATTAATAAGAGCTCTACCAGTAGCAAAAAAAATGCTCTCTCAATAATTAAAGGCATTTCAAAATCCTCTTCCATGTCAAGAACAATAAAATCAAGAAGAAAAATAAATTTGTCAACCTTTACCAAAATATCCTCTACCACTCCTCTTGGATATTTAATGGTTTTATCTGCCAATTGAAGAGAAACTGTGGTAGGTGAAGGTTCTCCTAATCCAAGTTTCCTAAATACATGAAAAGACATCAAATTAATACTAGTGTCCAAATCACATAAAGCTTTATCAAAATTGACATTACCAATAACACAAGGTATAGAAAAACTCCCTAAATCCTTCAACTTAAGAAATAACTTATTTTGAAGAATGGCAGAGCATTCTTCATTTAACTTCACCATCTCGAACTCCTCTAACTTCCTTTTATTGGCAAGGATTTCCTTCAAAAATTTTGCATAGCTTGGCATCTGCGAAATAGCATCAATAAGAGGAATATTAATATGTAACTTTTTAAACTCCTCTAAAAATTTAAAAAATTGTTTATCTAAATTACCTTGGAAAAATCTTTGAGGAAAAGGGATTTTAGGCTTATAAGGCTTGACACTCGGATCATAAAAAAGCCTTTGTAAGGGCTCCTCTTGCTTCGATTCACCATCTTCCACACCTTCTTCTTTCCCATCAGATTGTCTTACCTCTTTCAGTTCTTTTCCACTTCTCAAAGTGATAACCTTTAATTGCTCCCTTGAATTCTTTTCACTATTGCTTGGCAAACCCCATTAAACTCTTCCAGAAACCATATTAGCAATCCGTCCAAGTTGTGTTTCTATGTTTCGAATAGCTGCATCTTGATTTTGAAACCTTATTTCCTGATTTTGAAATTGTACTTCCATACTACTAACAAACTTCTTCACCATCTCCTCCAAATTTGATTTCTTTTCTTGTTGATTTTGTTGTTGAAAACCTAGTGGCACTCTAACTTGATTATTATTCCACGAAAAATTAGGATGGCTCTTCCATTCTGAATTGTAGGTATTGGAGTGTGAATTAAAATTGGACCTACCACCAGAAGAAACAAAATTAGCTTGCAGAAGATTGAAATGAATTGCTTACTTGACATTCAACACTTGCATGACTAAATTGCTCACACAATTCACTGCAGCTATTAGATGAAACACTCATTGCTAACACTCCTAAACTATTTAACTTTTTAGTCAACATAGAAATTTGAGCAAATAAGAAAGTAAAAGCATCAACATTATGTAAACCAACTCCCTTTTGATAGCTCTATCATTAGTCTATTGATAGCTATTGAAGGCCATTTCATCTAACAACTTATAACCTTCCTCCATTGTCTTATTCATAAGATTACCCCTTGCAGTTGCATCAATTATAAAACAATTAGGAGATATACCATTATAAAAAGTCTGCACTTGGAGCCAAACAAGTAAACCATGATGTTGACATCGCCTGAGCAATTCCTTAAATCTTTCCCATGCCTCATATAATGACTCATTATCAAATTGAACGAAAGTAATAATGTCATTTATCATCTTAGCTGTTTTCAAAGGACGAAAAAATTTAGCTGAGAATTTTTCTACCAAAACATCCCATATGGTAACATAACTTGTCGGAAAAGATTTATGCCAACTCTTGGCTTTATCACATAGAGAGAATGGAAATAATGTAAACCTAACAGCATCACTACTCACACCATTAAACTTAACAGTATCACAAATTTCAAGAAAATTAGCAATATGCAAATGAGGATTTTCATTAGGCAAACCACTGAATTGGACAATTTATTGGGCCATTTGAATGATAGCTAGCATGATTTCAAAATTATTGGCTTGAATCGCTGGCCTTCTAATGCTAGATGCTGTTCTTTTAATGGATGGGGTGGCATATGAACTAAGAGTGCATGTGTTATTTTGACCTTCACCTTCTTTTACCATGATGTTCTACTTTCACTCTCTTAAAAACTCCCTAAAAGTTCTCTCAATTTTTGGGTCAAATGGGACAAGATCACCACCACTACTACGGGTCATGCACTGA